ATATATATATATATATATATATATATATATATATATAGGAGATATGGTGATTTGCTTCAAAATTGATTTGAAAACAGGCAACGAGTACTTTGGTCATAGATCTTTATCAAGTGCATATATTATATATATATACACATATATACTGTATATATATATGGTATCGTGTATATATTCCTATATATATATATGTTCCCTGATTTAGCTACAATGGCATGCAATTATATTCGTGATGACTAAGGAACTTTAATAGCACTTCAATAGGTTGACTCAAAAATGTGTAACGTTCCTATTAAATACCATGATTCATCATATTTGACCGTAATAAATCCTTTTCACAATATATTAATCAGGGCTATTACAGCTTACGAATTAATGAATACAGAGAGGCAAAATATTTCTGATTTGTACTTGTAGAAATAACTAATTTAATTGTTGCAATAGAAAATTGATGTAAACAGGTCTACATCCTTATTCTTTAATCAATAATTTATTATCATAATCGCTGACGTCATAATCAACATCGTCGACGTCGTTTAACAACAAGAATTATCCTAATTTGCGTGCCTTAGAAATTGATGTAAACAGGTCTACATCCTTATTCTTTAATCAAGAATTTATTATCATAATCGTTGACGTCATAATCAACATCGTCGACGTCGTTTAACAAGAATTATCCTAATCAAGATCTTCAGAGAATACAGATTATACCGTCTTCTCATATTGACATCCACATTTTCCTAGTGGTTACCATCTCTATAGGGGTGTGCTGGGCCAGAAAGAAAAACCCTTCTAACTTTTTACCTTTCGCCCCCCCCCCCCCCACATTCCAATATTCTCAGACACGCCACTGCCCTTATTATAAAATCAAGATCATCAATGCAATTAAAATCATTGTGTCACCACATCTTCGTCGTAATTGAAATTCAAAGCTATCTGGTTACGAAGGTCTAGTCTTCTGATTTAAAATTTAAAAAAAAAAAAAAAAAAAAAAAAATTTTTAAAATATAAAAAAAATATATATATATACATACATATATATGTGTATATATATATATATAATTTAGCCAATATTAATATGTCCATCAAAAAAAATAGATGCAATTAAGTGTAAAACTCGATTGTCTGTAGATTAACGGTAAAGTACATTTATATTGCTAAATCGTGAAAATAAATATTTTGCAAGATCATACCGATTTGAAAACGTGGCCGGTAATTAATTGTCATCAAAAGTGCAAACCCAATTGAGGACAATAATTTACCAAGTGACTAACGAGAGTTAAACAAACAACACACACAGTCTCCACTTAATTCTTCAATATCAACTTCGAATAGACGATTTATCAAGGGCAAGAAAATAGAAAAAATAAAATAACCACAATTGTCATTACATATAAACATTGGTCTTAAGTTGCATAATTATACTTGTCTTCGTCTTTGACATTGTAAATCACAAGGTACTGAAATATAATTATACAGATAAGCAGGGGCAGAATCCCAACTAAATTTAGGACCTATAGTCGAAGGGGAAGATTTGGGAGGGGGGGGGGGGGGGGGGGGGGGGGGGGGGGGGGGGGGGGAGGGATCCATTACCTATTGTGGAGGTCAAGTGCAGTAGTGAACATATTGTTCCTTCGTCATTTGACAGTTTATTGTAGGTTTCAGTCAACTACACATAGATGACAATAGTACTTCAAGCCAGGCTCGGGAGGAAGAACAAATTTTGATACAACTGACTTTTAAGACACAAAAACTGTGATTACATCTCCTCCCCCTTAGAAAAATCAGTTTTACAACATATATTTTTCCTTCAGAGCCAGGCTTTGTGGAAGCAATAGATCACTTAAAGAAGGCTTAGAGTCGTGCCTTTAAATTGAAGAATGTTTTGTACGAGTTGCAACATCAAGCTACTAATTTTATGCAGGGGTGGCGCCAGTTGCGGGGGGGGGGGAAGAGGACATCCCCTGGTGAAAAGAGCTGATCCCGCCACCGGGGACGGGGAGAAAAGCACAATTCGTCAGAAAGAAAAAAAAATTATATGTATTTTTTTACATTAAATAAGCATATGAGACCCCTAAATTGTCATAGTTTCCTGGGATGACATTCGACCGCATCCACTTATGCTCTTGCCCGGGACTTGGCCCCCATCGGGGACATCGGACCTCCCATTAGGCATATTCCTGCGGCACCCCTGATTTTATGGAGAGTAAAATTTGAGTCAAAACATCAGACCTTTTAACAACTGACTGACAACAGTTGTATTTGCAAAATTGTTTAATATTATTAACTTTTTTTTATTTCATCCAATGCAATATGTTTACCTAATGACACAGGAATGATTTCAGATTGACATAAATAATTCCAAAATGCATTTCATATCTTTTTTACAATTTATATGAGATCAATAATTTTCAAGTATCCATCCAATGCCCCTTCAAAGAATTTATTTTAACAGAAAATGTTAAGGATACTTGAAAACTAATATCTGAATATTAATCCAATGCCCTTTCAAAAAATTTACTTTAACAGAAATTGTCCTACGCAAATACCAAAAAAATCATAAAAATCAATTTTGAAATTAACTTGACTATTTTAAAGTAACATAAAAATGACCAACTTGAACATAGAAATTAGTGTATTTAAAAAATGTTCACCCATAATTTTACAGCAAGAAAAGATAGAAACGCTTACTTACTTTTTTATATATTTTAATTATCCAGTTTAAAATTTAGAGTACACATATTTAAAGTTCAATAATTTCTATGCTCGAGTCAATAATTTGTATGTTACTGCAAAAATTAGCAAGATAATTTCAAAATTATTTTTTATGATGTTTTGTCATTTTCAAGGAACAAAAAAAAAAGTTAAGAAAAGTAATAATCATAGTATAAAAAGTACTTAAGACAGAATGGAAAAATAAATGTATATACTTTACAAATCATGAAGTAAAGGATTTAATTCATATCAACTGAAATATTGCAAATAAATACATATAAGCATATACATTTCTTCTATATTTATAACAGAAAACCCATCTTAAACCCCATTAGAAAAGTTCTTGAAAAGTGTACAAATTTGAAAATTGCAATTCATTAACAAAAACTCCTAGGCAAAAGCCTCACTTAGGATTTACAATAATCTATTTTACACAACCACACACTTAAATATTCTTTTATCATAAAAAAAATCTTGATAACAAAATATTTGTCCAGTATTCATGTATGTTAAAAACCAATATAAAGCTTATGAAAAAAATCTATGCATTAACAAAGGGAAAAAAGGATAGGCATGCACTGTATCAGCCCGTTTTGAGACACAGATAATGTGGCATCGTCAAACACTCACGCATAACCATGATGGATCTGTCAGCCGATGGTCGTGAAGCAGAGCCCAGCTAATGAACAGAATGACAGTAATGTAAAATTAAAATAAATACCCTTCCATTCTTAGAATGTCGAGAATGAACTTACCAACAATTTTTTCCAAAAAAAAAGGCTCAGAACTATTTAATGAAGCTGACTATTATATTTTATCTTAAGTTTTTTTTTTTTCATTTTAATATTAGGTCAAGGGTAACTGAAATGATGGAATACCATTGTTAATGAATCGCTATTGTTTATGAAAAAAGGGGAAAATGGAATGACTCAACGACAGAGAATCATCACATGCCACAAACGACTGCAAACGGTCACTAAATACTATGGTGGGAACTTATAATATATTCATCCTGCAAAACCTCTTGAAGTAGACACAACATTTATGTACGACTGTCACAAGCTTGGCCTTTATCAACAAAACAGGTAAAACAAAATACCCTATTATTTTAATAAAAATAACCAGTAACCAATGTAGAGTATACAAATCCACACACAAATTAAAAATAATATGTTCAACAACATTTACAAAACAATTTTTTTAAAAGTTTGTTTTGTATTTTTGTATAAATATTCTTATAAAAATTACTTAGTCATATAAATTGAATCTAAAATAGATCCATGTTAAACTTATTTAATAGCCTATGTATAAATATATAAGCGATGCGCGGTATTAGGCAGGCATTTTATCACGATGTTGCAATGGTAATTTGTCTTTTATGCTCAGCCTCATCTTCTTGCTTTTGCCTATGCCGTTGAGGTTCATTGATCTCAGTTACATTTTCTACAATGCACGTATCAACAATAACTTCTCCTAATTTTGCATTTATTTCTTTCTCATAATCAACAGATTGTTCTTGTAAATTTTTCTCTAAATTAGTTTCACCTGACCCCTGACATGACCTCTGTGTTAAATCTGGAGCAGCTGTATTCCCAGTTTCCTGATTGGTCAGATTTTCTTGGTTTCTCTCGCCAGTATTCCCTGTTACGTTGGTCGTATCTTCGGCTGAAAAAACTGAATCATCGCCAATTTTTTCATTTACCTCTTCAATGATACAGTCTTTATTATCCACAGTAGGTTCAGCTATTTCCGAGGCCTTTCGAGACTTTGATCCACGTCGGAAAGAGAACTTCCGCTTTTTGCCAAATATAACAATTTCATACATAGGCGGGGGAGATCTTGGCTCGGTCTCATCGATCGAGTTCCCACGACCTCCGAGTCTCAGACTACTTAAACGACGTCCCCTACCGGTACTCACAACATCTGCATATTCGGGAGGGAAATCATTCCGGGCAAAAACAGAATTTTCATCAAAGGAACTTCCACGAGCCTCTATGGGTGAAGAAAAAAAAAAAAAATTTTATAATTAAAATATGTTAAAATAAGAGATTATATAAAATTTAAAAGTCTCATTTATAAAAGTAATAGAAAAAAAAAACTCAATACAAATTATTTCAAACTCTAGAGGGCTCACTGTTGAAATGAAGTTTTATCAGAAAACAAACATAGAGGGCTCACTTCATATTTCTTGATACAAGTCATGGTTGGAAGGAGGAAGTACTACAGGCAAGTGTCAGCTGTTAAAACACATCTTAATACAATGCAACATAAATCTTTCTTTAATCGGGAAAGCTCTTTTGATTTACAACTGGAGTACTGATTTCCTAAGAGGCCCAGATTTTATAAATCATAATGTAAATTAGTGATTATTTGGGCACATTGCCAGAAAGAACTACAACTACTGTGGAAATAAACTAAACAACAATTATTTGAATGTCTAAGTTAAGATAACTTTTAAATGTAAAGTTCAAAAAGAAGACATTTCCCTCAGAAATGAACATATGCATAATTAATACTGTCCCTATATTTTAAAACTAATGACCTAGCCTGTGTGAGGCACCATAGTGAACAGAAAATCCATCCTAAGGCTCCGCCCTGGCCAACCTAGTAACATGTTCTTAATGTATTCAGTGCTCTGGTCTCTTTTGGAAGGGCACCTAATAAATAATAATCATAATTATTATAATTATAATAAAAATATTAATAATAACAATAATAATAATTATAATAATAATAAGAATAATAATTATTATTTAATGAACAAAATAAACAAATTTATTTAATGATTAATAAGATTTTATCCAGATTTATTATGGAAAGAATTAATTTATGCATATTAAATTGTAAAAGGCAAGAACAGAATGGGCAGACCAAGAAAGTGGGAAGATTGTCGTTAGGAGCTAACATAACGTTTTGAAAGGCATTCTTCAGCTTAAGATACAGTAGTTTGAAGAGAAAGTGTTTATAAACCCAAAATCACAACTGGACATGGTGGAAGTAAAGCTTGATTTCCATACAATACCTATACACAATCGCTGACTGCTTTCAGTGATGCTGATTGGTCAGCTGGATCGGGGAACCTTCCCAATTGCGTTGGGGACTGCAATAGGCAGTACAGCAATAGCACTGAAAACACTGTAGCGACTGTGTAGTGATTTTAAGGTAACCAGGCTTAAGACTAGAGATAGTTCCATGTCTGTTACTTACCTACACTAACTAAACGAGTTAATCGTGATTCTCCATTTGGTGGTCCACGTATGTGCGCTGCAAATGCCATGCATGTTAAAAGAAGAAGGAATACTATACAGATGACAGCGCCAGCTATAGCCCCAATTGTTGAATACCCATTATAACCTATGATTATAGATAACAACAGAAAAAAGACAATTAGATATATTGGATATCCATGGCTCAGTATTCTAAATATGAATAGAAAAAAAAAAACAAAAAAAAAAACAATTATACAATGGACACTAATTTCAAGATACAAGGAAGTTTTTAACTTTGATCTTTAGTGTATTTTAAGGTTTTCATACCTTATAATAGATGGTAATATATATCTTTAATTACAAACATAAGCATCAAACTAAAATCAATTTAGAGTCTTTTGAAAACACACTTGCCAGTAAACTGACTCGATTATGACCTCTATCAACGGTACAATAAAAGGAATTATTTTTCTGCGTTGCCTGATATGTTACTTGCGAAAAAATTTTTTCAAGTGATGTAGGTGGGAATGGAACCTATGACCTCTAGATAGCTAGTCTGGTGTCTTTGTCAGTTAGGGCAAAACGTCATACCAATTCAGTCTTCTGATGCAAACACCATTGGATTAATACAATAAAAACAAATCAAGAAGAAACAAAAAACACTTCCTCAAACAAAACAAAAAGTGCTACTTAAATAACAATTACAGATTGAAAACTGACCAACAAAACAGACACAAATTGTACTAAAACAAGACATATTAAGATACAAGGAAGTTATTAACTTTCATTGCATTTTAAGGGTATCATACTTCAACATAATGTATATCTTAAATTATCAGTAAAAACATAAGCATCATACTGGAATCAATCTATAGAGTCTTTTGAAAACACACTTGCCAGTAAGGTTAAGCCCTGGCAGGCTAAGCCCTGTCCAGAGGCAGGCTAAGCCCTGTCCAGAGGCAGGCTAAGCCCTGTCCAGACTATCAAATTTGATTTGACAAAAACATGTGACATGCCTAAATATGGTCATGATGACATCACTTCATGATCATATATAGGCTCATCATGACTATATATGGGAACAGAACAGTTTTTTGTCAAAGAAAATTTGAGTGTGGACAAAGCTTATAAAACAACAAACAAACCTATACTTTGGCAAAATTCTCCATAGTATCCTGGTAGACAACTGCAAGTTCCATCAGCACTGCATTCACCATTGTTTAAACAAACTGAGGTACAAGAAAGTACTGTTGTCGTTATGTCTACCACTGGGCCTACAGAAAAAAAACATTGATCTCTCATGCTTCTGTCTCTTATACACATCTAGATGTGATGGACACATGAAGAGATAGGTGTGTTCTATAGGCAAGTCAAACCTAACAAAGTTCATTACCAGAAGTTGCTCTATCTTAGAACTATCCTTAATGTAATTGACTTCCTCCGACTATATTTGTTGTGCACCTACTCTAAGAAACTTAATATCGACAGTCTTAACAGCCACGCCCACCTTAAAATGTAATTAAATACTGTTGACGACCCCATGCTACATAGGATAGCCACACCAGTCGTTTGTGCAGAGCGTAACAGATACAGATGCAAATGAACGAGATGAGTTTGATAACGAAAGCACAAAGAGGCCGAAAACAATCTAAGTCTAAAAGAGTTGCATATTTCCAAGGGTGTTTACTCATGGGAAATGGTATTATCCATGTTCTTAGCCTGCTAACAACATTTTAATTTGTGTAATTATGAATACAAACATCGTTATGAGGGCAATAAACTTTAGTAATGGTTGAACCCAAATAATTCAGCGTTTGTTGACACAAAACTGGCCTAGAAAGAAATGCCAATTTACATTTTCCACAGAACTAGACTACAAACGACTGATACTGCAGTATAAATGTCTACCAGTACAATTATACCGCAAGTGTCCTTTCACAGACTGATTCATAATCTTGAACAAATAATACTGTAAAACCTCGAATTGAAGCCCATTGGGCTTAATCTCGAGAAGGAGTCCACCTCAAATTGAAGCTCCGTCTTTAGTTTGCAAAATTAGCCTAAAAAAAGAAGCCCATGGCTTCGTTTCAAGATAGCATAGGCTTCTGTTCGAAATAGTACAGTAACTGTACATGAATTTTCAAAAAACGTAATACATTAAAAATAAGCTTAAGTTTATTAGGTGACTTAATGCCAGTTAATACAGATACAGATTGATGTTACTGTGGCCTTATTTATTGTTTTACAGTACAAATTCCCAAAATTTACAGCATTCATTTTGAAAAGAAGCCCCTCTCTAGCCTTGAAAAAAAGCCCCCCACCCACAATTGTTCATACTAAACTGAAACTTGAAGTGAATATAAATACACATTCTAAAGCCCGTTTTCCACTAGACAAATTTATTCGCGCAAATCTAAAGCCTTGGTTCGATTCATGAGCTCTGATTGGTTGCACATTTTTTTTGCTTTGCAAAAAGTAGAAACAGTTTGAACTACCGATTTTGCTGAAGCAAAAAACTGCGATAGAAATGTGAATAGGCAAGCGCATAAAACGCTTTTGATTGTCCGAATAAATTCACCAAGTGAAAACAGGCTTTATAAAATGAAGTAAACTGAAAACAACTTGGATTTAAATTCTAATTTGTAAGTTATTCATGTTGAACTCAAAGCTGTCAGGATGATATTTTAATTACTTTCTAAACAATTAAAAAAAAATTATTTACATTAATGTTATTCGTGCTTCCTTTGTATTAATACCGTACATGTATTTTTGTTCAGCTGCACAATCTTATCTTTATCATTTTGAACAAATTATGTTTTTTTTCACATCCATAAAAACATATTTCTACAACATATTTATTCAGAATACATTATTCAACAGCAGCAGATGTACTAAAACTGACAATGTAAACTAACATTGATCTCTCATGCTTCATGATCAAAATACCAATTAAAAATAGGCTCCCAGCGGGAGTGTGTGTCTACTGCTGGACCTTTTTTTGTTAGGCTACTTTGAACTCATCCATGTTTTCTGTGTTGGCAATTCATTTGAATAACTGTACAAGTATACATCTGTGACTTTATTTTAGGGAGCTTTCTTGGACAGGTCTTATCCAGCACCTTTCTGTGTTGGCAATTACTGTATTCACTTGATAACTTTACTAGGACAGGTCTTATCTAGCACGGCATCATTATTTCGTAAACTTGCTTTTCATTTTTATCTTTAGTCGAGACTTTATTTATTCCTTGTTTCACATACTTATTTTTTTAAAGATCATTATAGGAGGGCAGAATAAAAATAAAAATAAAATTTTGTTTTCTTATTTAGCAAATAGTTTTACCAAAAACATGCAGACAGAGGAGAAAATAAAAATAAAATTTTATTGGTGAATGTAAAATGGGATGGTTAAATGCTTCAAATTTATATAATTAGGAAGAAATATACTTATTTTATCTTTGGAGATTTTAAGGCAGCGGAGGGCGTAAAAAAATTAAAAATAATTTTTTTTTGTGGCGACGGGTGTGCTAATTGGCCAAAAATAAAATGTTAATTTTATTCAAAATCATCAATATTTGCGTTCGGTGGGTTCGCTAAACAAGGTATAAAAAGTCTCGCCTTAGCTCATGACGCACCCATCATTCTTTCACCAGATTTACTCTTACAAGGTCAATTGCCTCGGGGCAGTAGACACAAAAACCAACCAATATTTAAAATTATGGAAATAAAGACAAGTATATACAATGAAAGATTAAAATATAATATGTCCATGAAGGTATTGATTCAGTTTTAACAAAATTAAGTATCTAATATTTAAAATTGAGAAACAAGTAACATATGGGTCATCAAGCATTCTAAGAGTAATGTTTATATAGAGAATAAATGTAGAATTTTATTTTTAGCTTTTAAGACAAGTTTTCACCATGATAAACACACATTTCAGTACATATGTTTACTCAATCACACACACCACCACCATTCACTAAGCATTAATCAATCTGATTGCTTTACTATTTATATTGCAAAATCACATCCTTGACCATGAGATAGAATTTAATACAACAGCCTACGGCACATTTTAATTACATCTGTACAAATTTGTATATTACCTTGATGCTTTTTATAGGAACATTTTCCTAAATGAGAAATTCATTTTCTTAAATGAGAAAACCAAATTTTATTTTTATTCCAACATCCTTTCAAAAACAAAGCTTGCTTAACAAACATGAAAATGTCTTCCTTGTTTCCAAGAGCTAAAAACTTTTTTTTATTCGTCAATAAAATTTGTATTTTGTCTTTTGTCTTGATGCTTTTGAGAGGACCATTTTCCTAAATGACAAAACCAAATTGTTATTTTTATTCTAGAATCCTTTCAAAAACAAAGCTTGATATTACAAAAATGAAAACGTCTTCCTTGTTTCCAAGAGCTAGAATCTAAACTAATCTTTAAAGAAAGTGGAAGAAATAAACAATTATTTTTTAAGGAGAACAAGTTATCAAATGATTAGACAGGATATATTATACTGGTTCAAACTATTGACCTATGACATTACCTTAATTTCCTGGATTATTAAACTTTATTATTATCTCGGCAATCTACACCACAAACATTTCTCAATTTGATTTGATAAAATATGATTGGATCTATGCAAATCATAATTAACACACAATTTTAAAAAGCAATCTGGGAAGTTCTTCACTGATAAATTACCAATGCAGTCGCTGATGATGGAGCTCCACAAATGATGATTTTACATGCAGTTTTATAAATTATGAATACTATAATCATTCTTAAAAAGGTGGGAGAGAGGAAGCAAATTCTATAGACGACAGTCAACTGGGCTTCTCATTTCTCTACACCAAGTTATCAATTAGGATCTTGTCTCACCCACTAATACCTTTTTGCTGCTGTCTCAATTAAAATTATATATACTGTATATAATTTATATTTTTAATTCATATTCCTCTACTTTGGTTTGCTAGATCTGTAGATTTTTTATTAAGTTTAGAAAAACCTTCTTTTTAGTTGGCTTAATATATTAATTCATTATTTTTTTAAGTGCCGTCATGGATCATTCTTTTGCACTTAAAATTTTATTCAACTGGACAAGTTTTGAAGCGCATAGGGCAATTATCATGCGCATTAGAACTTGACATCAATTACAATTAGAATTATATTATGAGAAACCACAGACTGGAATTAATGGATATGTCTCTCCACAATGCTTTTTAAAAGCTCATGATAAAACAGGAAAAAAATAATGGCCTTGGTTTTGCTATATATTACAATTTACCACCAAGCTAGCAACGTAAAGGTAAGCCCACAAGCAAAACATCCAGACACATTATTTTTGTGATATAAAATAGCACGGATCTTTCTAGTGAAATAACCATTTTCTTGATGCTAAAAAGAGACATTTACTATACACTATTTAGTGAGGTATTTGAAAGATCGTCAGAAATTAAATTCATTGTGATAATTACAAAAGACTGAATTTGTTAATTATAGTTTGGGGAAATCTATATTGTGTCAATAGAATAAGGAGTAATTTTTTAAAAAGCAGGAAAACAGGTTCTTGAGACAGAGGTTCCATTCACACCTTCATGTGAAGAAATGCATTGTTGAAGGCCAGGTGCCAAAATAAATGTACATACCAGGGAGTTGTTATTTAGACATACTGACTCTAAAATACTATCTGTATATAAGTTAAATCATATTGCCATCAAACACAATGCAAGACTACGCTTATGCACACGCTTTAAGCTTGTTTTGCACTAGGCAAATATATTCGTGCGAATCGAAAGCATAGGTTCACTTCCTGAGGTCTGATTGGTTGCGCATTTTTTCGCTTCGCAAAAAGTAGAAAAATTTCTAACTACTGATTTCGCTGAATTAATAAACTAGAATGTGAAAAGAAAAAAAAAAATAGAAATGTGAATGCACATGAACCAATTTGATTTGTGAATAAATTTGCATACTGGAAAACAGTCTTTGACTCAGTGCATCAGCCAATGGTCTCAACCAACGTTGGCTACAAACATGCCAACACTCTACTGTTAACGCTTGACCGACGCAATGTTCGATAACAATCTCATCATCATGGAAAACAACCTGTCATGTGTTTCATCACGGTTTGAGTAGAAAAGCGTTGGTATTATGGGTGACTCTGTTCCGAGAATCGTACATTCTTACTTTATGCCTAAGTGGTAGAAATGAACATTACTAACAATAGACTTCAATTTTAATTTAGTCCTATCACCAGATGAAGAGGATAAATCAAAAAGTGAACTATCATACACCAACATTATATATTTAATTCAATTTGTTAATTTATTCAGTATAAATTATTAACAATACAATTATTTATTTATTTATTCAGAATACTATTAGAAGACTTTTGTTATAGATCTAATTAATAAATTGGGTTCAGAGTATAAAATAAAAAATCTGTTTTTAAAGAAATCTGCAACTGACATTTTTGCTTGTTTCCATAGAGTAAAGCTTTGTCTACACTATTAAATTTTATAATAAATAAATGTGATATTGGCATAATCACATCAATATGCACATATACTGTATTGGCACATCACACAAAATACCTCATTCTTCAGATTACACTGATATGTTGATCTCTGGTGCATAATAATTGTCCATGAGAAAAAAATATTACAAATCAGTGGTAGGCCTACGTCATTATAATGAGTTAAATATTAGTTCAGATAAAGGTAGGCCCTGTACAGCTGCAAGTCCCAGTGGCCTAATCAAAATTCTTTTGTTGATTTAATTGTACATTTTAAGACTGGAAAAGTTAAGATAATTACCAAAGACTTCTAATTTGTCAAATTTTGAAACAACATTGAATATTATGTATTGTGACAGACAGATTAATCTTACACGAAAAAAGGTAAAACACACTGTCGATTATAACACAAGTTCACTAGATTAACATTCTTAGCAAAAGGCAAACAGTGTAGTTTGTAGACAAAATGACAGACTTGTATTAGATTTGTCAGATTGAAGAGGAAGATTATTAAAAAACACAAACCATTCATTGCTAGGTCGCTGTAAACCTTGCAGTATTAGCCAACACACTTCAGTTCCTTCTCTTACTGCTGACCTTTTCCTTCTTTAACCGATGTTAGAATTGCACTGTTTTTTATTAATTTTTTTAATAGCTTTTAATCAACTGATAGATGAAACAAGCTTGTTGAAAATTTATGATCTGTTTTCTCCACTCTGAAATCAAATAGAAATGTTAAGAATAAAAAGTGTAGCTGCATTAGTCTGCTATGGAACAATATAAAAGAAACAGCAGCAGCACTTTTAAGACTAACAATATATAATTTATTTCTCTAGCTTTCGTCCACACAGTGGACTTCATTAGGAGACTGTACAAAAATCAGATAAGAAACATCTATAATATACAACAGAGATAACAATGGGCGGTCCTAAAACAACAACCGAAAATGTCCAATAATGATTCCTGATGATGACATAATTAATGTCGAAATATTGAATCCTGACACGATGGCGTGCATTTCGATACTTGGAGTATGTATTATATTATCCTAAAACAACAATGTATGCAAACTTTGTTTATTAGGGTCGTTTATTTCCGCAAACTAATATTTGCTCTGTCCACCACATTTGCATACTTTGTTGTTTTAGGACCGCCCATCATTGTCTCTGTTGTATATTATAGATGTCCTATTTGTATAATCTCCTGATAAAGTCCACTGTGTGTACAAAAGTAAAAGAAATAAATTCTATATTGTTAGTCTTAAAAGTGCTACTGTCATTTCTTTTATAATAATTAACAGACTACCTCAAATAAAACAATGCATTAATTTAATGATTACTCAAATCTAATCACCACATTTAGATAACTATATTACAGTATATTTATATAATTTCCATAGTATAATTATATTTACACTGTAATAGTTCTCACTTTATCTGAATTATTTAATGCCAATTTTAATTATACTGCATATCATACAATAAAATAAATTTAACCATATAATAAAATAAATTAACCCTACAATTTCACACTGATATAATATAGTAGTAACAAGAAATATATACATCACTATTTTCACTGCCAGAGTTATTAATTCTTGATATTTACTGTGGTTTTTGACACTAACAAACAAATGTATTGTTGGTATCTCAAAATTAAATATTGCGAATTCCAATATTGCTGGCAGAAATCTTAAATCTTATTATATTCAACTGTAAACTAATTTAATGCAATGGCAACGCCAACGATAATTCAGACAGACTTGATCGCGTAAGTAGCACGATCCTATAAATAGATGAATCTTTCACCAAATTTAAGCCTACTAAATCAATAAGGTTTTGAAGGAAAATGGCAGAAAGATTTAAGTAAATCCTATAAACAACGTTTGAAAATACGAATGTCACTTTCTGGCTTTGGTCTTCTAACATCAAAATAGCGAGATTTTGAATCTGAGGCAAAACATGGATTACATAGCTTACAATGTTGTGTTTAAATAATGTTGCAGTTTGGTGTTCCTTCAAAACATATTTTTTGTAGAACCATTAAAATACATAACATGCCTGACTAAATAATGTTGCAGACATTATTGCAAGGTTGTGTTAACTTACTTTAACTGACATAACATACATTGCATTTATATATACCATCATATATATATCACAGCACTCAAAACGTGGAATGTATAGCTCATTCCGCAGTAACTTTCTTCTCCCCTTTGGGTCTCTTCGTGTCTGAGCTACCCGGTAAACCTAATGACACAGTTTTTGTGAATGTTTGTTGGGCATCTATTCGTAAGTAGACAAGGCTTTCTAAACTGTCTCTATTCATGCGGGAGTTAAGCAGGAACGCTACCTGGCAGTATGATCAATCGATGGCTAATTACTAGCCAAGGGAGCTGAGTATGATTCCCATTTTTCCATGACCTTTTTATTCAGGTATATTTATTCAAACTCATTTATAAAAACATACATAAATTTGTGAAGTTACCAATCAAAAGTCAATAGCAATGAAACTGAATTGAATACTAATGGCATTAAAACAGAATTACAATTAAAATTACAAATTATGTGATGTGGAAAAGTCTTGGCATCCTATAGAAACCTTTGTATCATAATAAATATGAACTTTATTTAATTAAATCCTATGATGAGTATGTGAGGAAATTTGCAGTCCACTTTACAGATGCCAAATGAAAATGTTTTAGCCAAATTTAAATACCATTACCAATAAAATTTCACAAAAATGGTTCTGTAAATGAATTTGTACAATGTCGACCATGTCGGTATTGATGCAAATAACATAAACTGAGTCACTGATTGATTGAATGTATTTTAGTGTTTAGTTCATATCAGAAAATACAGCAAGCCCTAAGAGATTCCCCATTTAAACAAAAATCACTTGTAGTACAGGTAAACAGAAAATCGGAATAACATATTCATGAAAAAAGAAGACCACATTGGTAGTTGCATAACAAAAAAGGATATCGCATGGTACAGTATTATGAAGTCATTGCCGCAAAACTTTATCCACAATTGTTTGTAAACTAAAATCCGGGATTTTGTAGATAACCCAATCAAGTCTGCTAAAAGATCCTGCCTGAAAAACTGTAACCAATGTTTATTGCGCAGAGGTAGAGGTATGGAACGACAACTTCAAGAGAATTTCAGCTAAATATTCTTCCATTTAAATTCCAAGAACTTAACTGTCTGCAATTTTCTGAAATTTTAATTGATATACCTGTAGTAGTGGGGGGGGACACAGGGATGCATTCCCCTTTAAATATTACTCGCACCCCCAGTTTCCCCCAAACATTATGGTCACGTAGTTAAAAATCACTTAAAATCACATGAACGTGAATTAGCACGTGAATTAGCACCCCCTCCCCCTCAACTGATCATCGAGCCACTTCACATTCACGCTCCCCCTATCAGCACCCCCATTTTATACACTGTATAGTAAATAATTTGATGGTAATTTGTAATAAACAAATTATTTTAATGGCAGCCACAGCCATTAAGTAAATAAAAAAAGCAATATCCGCATCTAAAGTGTTTACATAATAATTTTGAAGACAATTTTTTTAGAATGTTCATTTCATATAAACAAACAAGACTGTACTATGAAGCAATAAAAAAAATTTTAATCTGAAATATTCATGCAAATGATCATCTCTTTCAAATATGTATGTCAAATATATACTTATGTTTTTGGGATTCAATGTGATTCGTAATATCCTATCAAAGACAGATGAGGCTGTAGATGAATGTCAAAATATGACATAGGGTACTCAAGAACCATGTTGTAAATCACAACATTACATGTCCATGTAATATCGTTTTGCTCCATCAAACTAACAATTTATGCAATGTTTTTCTTTTTACCTTCTGTTTTTGACATTTAATGTTTTCTACATACTAAATTTATTTATGCAGCCTTGCATAGCCTTAATTAAAAAAACACTTGGATGAATCAAAATAAAGATTTTTTTATCATATTATTATGGAAATGATTTAAAATTTGAATGATTCATTTCGTGCTCTGCTAATTTATTAATAACAATAAGAGTATGACAGTGGCTATTGTTACACCATGAATTCTTATTTCTGATTGGATATTTGTGTATATGGAATGGATTAGGACAATAACATCCAATCAGAATTAGGAATTTGTTTAAAAAACTGATGACACAATAGCCACTGCCTTACTCATCATACTCACTTTGTTGCATTAATACAGTAAATTAGCAGAGCACCCAATGGCTCATGTGGTCTCTCTCTAATTAATACACTAAAATTTATAATATTAATAAGTATATTATAAGAAAGTATAATACATACTCCAAGTATTGAAATACATGCCATCGTGTTGGGATTCAATATTTCGACATTAATTATGTCATCATCAGGATGTCATTAATTACGTCATCATCATCATTCCTGATGATGACATAATTAATGTCGAAATATTGAATCCCAACACGATGGCGTGTATTTCAATACTTGGAGTATGTATTATACTTTCTTATCTGAGATTAATCAGTGGACCTTTCGGTTTTTAAGTATATTATACTTATTATAAATTTTAGTACTTTAAGATTCATAGCATCGGTAATTAACATAACAATCATTATTAAAGTCTTAAATCTCATTAATATAGGTCTTCCTCCATTTTTGGGACTGGGATTTCAATGGCCTTTAGCAGCTTTGGTCTGTAATTAGAACAATAAAGATAAAAGACATGTCATTTTGGGATCACATAAAAGTGGTCTTTAATTGGAGTGTCTTAAATTAGAGGGAGACCTGTACTATACTGTAGTAGTATTAATTATTACAAATATCCATCGATTATCCCCTGGACCCCAACAATATGTAAGTTAAAGGGAATACTACAGACACTTCCTCTCGGACCATAGTTTCCATCTCCAAATCCAAAACTTTGAATGTACAATAACTGTTTTTATTTGGATGGCAAATAGTGAGATATTAATTTATATGCTATTAACAATAAATGTAAAAAGTGAAAAGTAGGAAATGAAAATCACTTAATCATATTACAAAATAATAAGAAAACATTCCGAAGAGGATCTATGGGATATTAAATAGGAAGTGGGATTTATCCGTACGGAAAACATGGCTTTGAAACTCATTATATTATTGTGTAGCCCTGCTAACATCCAACTACAATATGAGCAATTGTATCCGTTTTCAATTTACAAATCTACTGTATAAAATAAAACAAAACAATAATAATTGATATTCTTAGCTTTATGGGCAAACAAAGGCATACATAAATTTATTATGAAAAATTCATATAATGGTATCAACAATACAATAGGTATTTACAAAAAATCCATATTTGAGTTCATAAAGGGGAAAAATACTTGGACATCTGAAGGCTAAACATGGGGAAATTTTCAGAAAACTTTAAGAGGGAGATTGAAGAGCAGGGTGCACCTAGTTTGTGTACACAAAGGTTTTATAGAATTTCATGACATAAAACATTCTCAAGACTGAATGCATTAACTATGTTAAATTCAATTTAGTTTACTTAGGCCTACTGTAATAAAATCTAAGACTAGGAGATTTGACGAGAGGCTGAGTGAACCAAGGTTTAGAGATGTACAAGATTATTTCCCCCTAATTGATGACTGCGATGTTATTTAATCTGAGGTACAGTAAACAAAGACTTTTCTACAGATTTCCAAAAAGCCATTTTG